ATACTGTGTATGTATGTATGTATGTATGTATGTATATATATATATATATGGATAGAGAGGGAAACGTACTAGTGAGTGAACAGAGTGTGTTGAGTAGATAGAATGAGTATTTTGAAGAACTGATGAATGAGGAAAATGAGAGAGAGGATGGTGGGGGGTGGGGGCAGGTAGTGGCTCGGGAAGTGCAGAGAATTARTAAGGAGGAAGTGAGGGCAGCCTTAAAGAGGATGAAGAACGGAAAGGCAGTTGGTCCAGATGACATGCCTGTGGAGGTATAGAGATGTCTAGGAGAGAAGGCAGTGCACTTTTTGCCCAGGTTGTTTAACACAATTCTGGAGCGTGAAAGGATGCCAAATGAGTGGAGAAGCAGTGTACTGGTCCCCATTTTTAAGAACAAGGGTGATTTGCAGAGCTGCAGTAACTACAGAGGTATAAAGTTGATCAGCCACACCATGAAGGTATGGGAAAGAGTTGTTGAAGCGAGGCTAAGGCAAAAGGTTCAGATCAGTGAGCAGCAGTTTTGTTTCATGCCCAGAAAGAGTACAACAGATGCAATTTTTGCTTTGAGTGTTGGTAGAGAAGTACAGAAATGGCCAGAAGGAGCTGCACTGTGTCTTTGTGGATCTAGAAAGCATATGATAGGGTGCCAAGAGAGGAACTGTGGTAGTGTATGAGGAATTCAGGAGTGACTGAGGGTGGTGCAGGAAATGTATGGAGACAGTGAGACAGTGGTGAGRTGTGCAGTYGGAGTGACAGATGGTTTCAAGGTGAAGGTAGGGTTRCATCAGGGATCAGATCTGAGTCTCGTCTTGTTTGCAATGGTGATGGACAGGTTGACGGATGAGGTCAGGCACGAGGCTTCATGGACCATGATGTTTGCAGATGACATTGTAATCTGTGGTGAGAGTAGAGAGCAGGTGGAAGAGCACCTGGAAAGGTGGATGATTGCATTGGAGAGAAGAGGAATGAAAGTCAGTAGAGACAAGACAGAATACATGTGTGTGAATTAGGGCTGTTTCGGTATTAAGCGGTAGACKGTAGGAACGGTATGAAGTTGGCCTACGGTAGAAATTTACCCTCTACCGTCCTGTCATCAGTTACATCATYGCACCTGTGTCAACAGGGCTGCGAGTGCAGAGACAAATGAGCAGSAGGAGTTCAAAATATTCTGAAAATAAATGAAGAAATAGTRTTTTAAAACATGTATAGGGAGAATAAATCCCCAAAATTTCTAAAGGGAACAGCCGAAAGACAAAGATACTTTGTTTCTGACGTCACTGAAGATGTTACATAGTTATTGTGTCTTATCCCAACTTCTGTAGAAACCCACATCCACACAATATACAAACACATTTTTTATTAAGGAATACATGACTATTTAATAATTTTAAATATTACAAGACAATTTTTCTGACAAAGAAACACAAATCTTCCTGTTTTTTAACCCTYATGGCTCAGGGTGAACAGCAGCACCAGAGGACATAATTCATGTCATTTTGATGTGGATTAAAGGCTTGTTGAAAATAACTATGTAGAGGTAACTTTTAAAGTGTTAGAGAAATGGATGTGACTCACAGGAGGTGGGTCCTATAAATAGCTGCTCTGCCGTGATAACCTCTTGATTTATCAGAGGAGGATGTGGATGAGTCACTCTGCCAGCATGGGGAATGGTGAATGAGCAAATAGAATTGTGAACGTGAGATGTACACATGAAACACAAAATCYACAGAGACTTTGCAGCCTGTTCTCACCTGCTCTTATTTTTAGTGTCGATGGGTGTCGATTCAAAAATTACTCTTGTTACCCAGAACAGCGACATGGAAAAACCTGGAAGTTCTGGGGCCTCATGTACAAAGACTTGCGTGGATTTCTTACTGAAAYGGTCAAATCTAGAAAACTGCGTACGCGCAAAAAAATCCAGATGTRTCAAACCGTGTGTACGCCTGAATTCACGCACATTTCTTTTGTACATCCCAATCAACGTGGAACTGAGCCCACRTGAGACTCCTCCCCTGACACACCTTCATAAACATGTCTTAAACAGATGCAAATTACTTCCTGCATGTGTGAAGGACATGTTTGTTTGATCCCTGCGTGATCAGACATGATTTCTAGAAACAGGAAAATAATAAATTTAATTTAATGTGAGTGAGAAAAAAAATCCTAAGAATAGGAGTAAAATATGTTTGTCACGCAAAGAGAGAGTGTGTGTGTGTGTGTGTGTGTGTGTGTGTGTGTGTGTGTGTGTGTGTGTGTGTGTGTGTGTGTGTGGAGTGCGCGAAGCTGCTGTGGTGCTCAACCGGCGGATCCATCCATTCTGAGCCTGGAAATATTAATACGCACAAGTTTCTTACCATAATTTCTGTAAACACAGAGGAACTTAGATGTTTGGTAGAACATAGATCTTTGTTTATTTCATAGCTGATATGAAGAAAAGAGTCACTGTGCCTCAGTACTGGAGAGTTTTCATGACGTGATGTGATGTTGGAGAGTTAGAATCAGACGATTCCATTGGGCATGATTTGGCTTTGGGTGGACTGGACTGGCACAGTCCTGATCGGTCTGCCAGCTCCCTCTGGAAAGCACCTGTGGAACCCCAGTTCAATYGCTGCTGCTGCACGTGCATGCGCGGCGCATGGCTCCTCACTGTGCCAAACTGAAAAAAGATTTTTCCTCAAAACGGCTGATGAGCCACTCGTCATCGTGGATCAGATAATTCTATCTGTTTATAAATAAATGTTCTGCGTGTTACACTATTTATTATATCCTCCAGTAAGGCTGAATCCGTTCCTGTTAAATGTACGTTTGGCACAACTTTGCACGTCTTTTATCTAACTGCGTCCATGTGGATGTAATAAATGTTAATCATGTGTGTCTGCTGTGAACAATAATCATTTTCACATCATGAACAGTTTCTCAGAATCACCTCTAAGTGTCGCCAATGGAACCAGAACCACAGAAACGTACGTACGCCAGCCCTGGAGTTGGCGTGGGGCTGCGCACATTTCCACGTTCAGTTCAGTTTTCATACATCCAGAGTTTTGCGAGGAAAATGGCAAACGCAAGCTTTTTGTGCRTACGCACCGTTGATACATGAGGCCCCTGGTTTGTAAGAGCGTTCAGTCCCTAATGTGCACTTCCAGGTTAAAAGAGGATAAAGGTAACAAATTGTTTCTAATAGAAAAAACAAATAAATCCCACCTTACTTTCAGTATTATTTTCATTAAATAGTTTTCTGGACCTAATAGGCTAGAAAAAACGTTCAAGCAACAGTCTTTCCCCAATAAAGTTTTTTTAGTTATAATTTCATAGGAATGTTGTTGCTTTGGCCCCAGAATCAGCAGTCACTTGATCATCCCATCTACTAAAAGCCAACTCCTGCTCGGTCAAGACCGTCATGGTCATTCTTAGGTTGTTCTTTAAACAGGCTGTCTTATCAAAACAAGCATAGGTGCATTAATGGTCTTAGAGAAAAGAGATTCCACTGATGCCTGACAATAACATGGTACTTAAGAATAATTTGAACAGCTGAAGTAGTCTTTTTAACTTAGCTGTCACACATATGTCTATGTTAAAATGTCTGTGAGTGCTTCGCTGTCCTACCTTTTGTTAATATACTGTATTAAAAAGTCATTGGCATGTCTATCTAAACATGTTGTAGTGTAATGGGAAACATTTTATACCTCATGTGGCATAAATCTAAAACAAGCTCTAATAATATCGCTGCTTAAAATGAAGTAAAATATACCACAAAATCTTTCTACTCCTTGTCTGGTTTATGGGGACGGTAGTCCTTAGTAGATGTGTCCACTACTGCCTATCTTCATCCGCCTCCCCAGGTTTCTCCTGGAAGGAAGAATGCTGCTTTTCACAGCAACCAGCGAGACATAATCTCTCCAGTGTGTCACCTGGCTGCCCCAGGATCCTCTTCCTGGAAAAAAACATGACTTAAATTATTCACCTGGAAACTGTCTTGGAGGCATTCTTGACAGATCTCTGAACTGCATCAACTGGCTCTGTGAGACACAGAGGTGCATTCAAGTAAAAATACTCAATTTCTTTTGTTTGCCCCTCAACAACAGTCCTGAACTTGTTTACCTCCCATCTGCCAAAGAAATTATTCTTGATAGTTTTACTAATACAAGTTGTTTTGTTTGAGCATATATATTGTTTTTGTTTTTCCCTACAGTTCTGTTTCTCTCATGGTTCCCTTCTCTAAGTACTCTGAATTTACATCAATTTTACATAAATTTTCTTTGGAATCACTGCCAAACATTTTTTTCTTTTCTTTGGAAGTTTTCTCGACAGAATGAAGATGGAGTAATTTTCTATTCTATACAACAAACGTGGAAAAAAAAAATGGCTACACTCATACCATCATACAGAATAGGAAACTATAATTTCCCCTCTTTTTTTCTGTTTTTTTGAATTATTTGAGGGTTGAAAAGAATAAAAGTCAATAGTAATCTTATTCAAAAGATGTATTACAGATACAAAGTGTCTGACAATGATAAATGAATCCTCATTTTTTATTCTGCATTAGTAGTTTTCTAAAACAATCTTTATATTGTGTTGGTCGRCATTCATCCATTCAGAGCACTTCATCAAATTTACATTTTCAGCATAATCCTCTTACTGGATCCTGTTATCTTTTATCAATAAAAGTAGCATTCTATGAAAAGTGCTAAATGTTCTCTTTCTTGAAAGCCCAAGTTTTAAGCAAAAACAATGTGTAATCAGGTCAAAGTCAGAGTATGTATTGACGTTGAGTCTAAGCTACTCCCACAGCAGATTTTAGCCTATTATTGAAAATAAATTTTAATAATTTTAGTGTTTGCTAAGACTGATTATTTCTGATGGTCATTAAGAATATGGTTGATGCTAAAAGTTATTCAGTTGTAGATGTACATTCAGGGATTACTTTCTGAGAGTTTATTAAAATCTCTTCACCGGTTCTTTAGATATTTTGCTAACAGATGAACAAACACATGCAATTACATGATTRCCTGCCTTTCACGGTGGTGATTAGTAATGAGAACGTGTCTTCTATTAGGATTATAGCATCAAGGTGAAAGATAAGTCATGCATAGATTACTTGTTGCGTAATATACATAATAGGCTTCAATATGCTTGTTTATTTATTGTTTTGCGTGTATTTATCATGTTTGTTGTGTCCACAGGGAAGCAGCACAGCAGTGACTTTTCCCGGCTGATTGCACAGGTCAAAGGTCGCATGGAGAGCACAAGACCGGTTTGTGCTAAACTGGGAGTTATAGAGGAGAAGAAGAATGTTGAGAAGTCAGATGCTGCAGGTACGACAAAACTCATCCGTTTTATATAAAAAGGAATCATCACTCAGGTACCAGACAAGCCTGAGGTCACCTGTTGATGAAATGTCTCCTGTTCCAGAGGAAACTATCTATTTCTTTCTAAACTGTTTTATTTCAAGTTGTTAATGAGTTGAAAAACTAGTGGCTTTGGAATAGGAAAATAAAGAACATAAAGCAAACATTTTCAGAATTTTTACAAAGAGAAAACCTCTCAAACAAGATTTTAAATCTGCAGATTGTCTGAGTTCCACTTCAGTAGATTATCTCAATGTGGGGTTTAAAAAAACTAAACTGGTCAAAGTATGTTTTCCAGATCAAGATTGAACATACCTGTTTAACAAATTATATATGTAATGATGAAGGCCAAAAGAGGTTTTCAAAATTTTATTTTTCACTCCTTGATAAGTGTTTGTAGAAAAGTTACTGTTCCAGCCACAAAGCTGACCTTTTATCAGGCCGTCATCAGCTGAGTCATCTGCCTGGAAGTTCAATATGACCGTGTTTATTCTTTCCTCCATCAGTACAACCTGCAGAAACCAAAAGCTCCATTGTGATAAAGGTGGAAAATGGAGAGGATGACGAAGATCAATCTGTAAGATCATCCAGCCCTGCTTTAAGTGACGTCTCCATCAGCAGGTAAGGCAGGACCTACTGTAATCAGAACACATTATCT